ATTCCAACGGCGTTCGTGGATTATATAACTCGGCTTCATTATTTATGAGCTGGCTTAAGACAAAAGCAAACACCATCGCCCAAAAACGGCCAAGTCAAATTGTCGACCTCGAACTCGAGTCCGGCCCTGGGCATACGCAAAATTTCCGAGGATTATGAAATGCAAAAGAGCTGCGAGCTGGGATACGAGAGCATTTCACCCTGCTTGATGGCCATAAATCATGGAATCAAAGTGCCACATTTTTGACTGCGTTTCGGTGTGGGATGCGTAAAGCCCTTTGGCCGAGGTCTAACACGTACTAACTGCTTGTCAACATTGCACTGGGATGGGAGGGGTTAGAAGAGGGCAAACGTGATGTGAAAAGTATTTATGGAAAATATTTGTTTAAAAATTTTTTACTGATTTTGGGGACTCGACTACGGAAGAGGAAATGAGAATTGATTTCCAACCAAAGAATAAATAAAAGAGCATAGCATTTTTGACTGACAATAAACCCGAATTCCTTTATAATATAGTATTACTCTCAAGTGCTGTTCAAGGACATGGGCTTATCATTAAATTGGAAATTGGTTTTCTGCAGGATATTGTAGAGACCAGCAGGAAACTTTCTGGCTCGCCAAAAACTCTTCAGAGAAATCCTCAATTTACATGTTTCCAAAGTGTGAGCTGCAATAGGAAAATTAATAATGAATCGAGTACAGAATCAACATCAAACTTATCCATAACAAGCTGAAAACAAACAAGGAACTATAGAAAGAAAATGCATATTACGGGCTGGGAGGGACTGGGAGCTGGGAGTGGTGTAGTTGGAAGATGCAGCTCTGCACAAAGTGTGTTGCCAAAAATTGAAAGGACGGAAGTTGCAAAAACTTGAGTCACCACAAAAGAATGAAATTCAAGTAGCTCGGGCAACATTAACTGAGCAGCCCGGCGAGCCAACAATGAGAACTGGCAACAAGAAAAGTACAACAATAAATAGCATTATGCTAATCCAGGCCAAACAGAATGCGGCAAAAAGTAAAGAAAAGCTTTTGGACTTTGGAAGGGGGCTTCCCCCTCCCGATGCCAATCCCCGTTCAGAGATGGAAGCATTAGCTTCTGTTGGGACTTGGGCAGCAGCTGGCAGCGACGGTGCCCGGAATCGGAATAATAATTACGAGAGAAAACAGAGGTTCCAGAACCAACAGCTCCAGTGCCAACTAACTAACTAGTATTTACTAAAATATAAGTCACAACAACCACAGAGCCCCGACAGCAAATTGCTCCTCCCCGTGGCCGGATCCTGCCGGTTGCCAACCAACAAAAGAAAAAAAAAAGTCCGAAAACGTGACATAGCATAAGAAGTAGGTATAAATCCCACCAAGCTCCGAGCTAGAGCTTTCCAGCAGGACAATAAACTCCCGACTTCAAATGAGCTTTGGATTCTGCAGAGCAGATAAATTAGCGGATGAGATGGGCTGGAGATAAGATAATGCTAATTAGACACGACTTAAAGGAGCAAAAGGATCTCTTAGTTTCTTAAAAAATCATCCATAAAATATATAAGAGTATCCTTGCCATCCTATTCAAATGCAATAGAATTTATTTGAGGTCGAAAATCGCAATTATTTAGCAAAGGAATATGAAGATATAAGGACCTCAAAGCATGTTAAATTGTCATAAGCCTTAAAAATTCCATTATGATTATTTACTTTAGAGCCACCACCCTCTCCCTCCATAGCCCATAACCCACAGCCCAGAGGAAACATGGACCAAGATAAGGATACAAAGTTTTCTAAACGAATAAATCTGTTTGTCTTGCTGCCAGGACATGAACACGCATGTACATACATGCACACATACACAAGCGAATGGTAAAAATTGTAAAATATTTCCAAACAGACACAGAGACGTAAGCAAGGCTAATAAATGAGAACTGTGGCGCGACAACAAGAGCAAATCCCATTTTTACAAGGATATGAAGGAGCCCAGGAGCTACACTCAAGCTCAACTCGGTGGGGCTTGGGTGCTGCAGCCCAAAAACACACGCAGAAGGAGCGAGACTACAGCGAGGCGAAACAACAACACATCGCTGCAGGATATGCAGACAAGACAAACAAGTCACGAACCGAAAAACAAAACCAAAGCCGAAAGCATAAAAAAAAAATACAAATAAAATAACGAAAACATTCAACGAAAAATGAAGAAAAACTCGTCGAGCCGCAGAAGATTTGCAACATAAATATTTTTCGTTGCAGACAAACGATATGAAAAGCGATAAAAACCCAAATGGAGAACAAAACGTGAATTGCGGCATTTATTTGTATATTAAGAGCTGATTTTTTGCACTCACTGTTATGGCTGTGGCGGCGGCCATTTTGCGAAAACTGCAACAAAATGGCGGCCGCAAAAAAATAAATTGCACTGCCTGATGAGTGTTAAGTGAGTGGGTGATGGCCCCACCCCACAAAAGGGTCCTAATGGCTAGGGTTATCGAAATCAGAGTTTGATTTTTATGTTGGGGATTTTTTTAAGGATTAACACGTATCATTTTAAGACGATTAACGGTATATGGATGATGATACTTTTTTACAGGCAGGTTTTGAAGTGCTATCGATAGTTCTATTGATAAATAATAGATAATTGAAAGGCTTTCATAATTTAAAGAGGTTAATTTTAAACTGAGTATTATCCTTTAACTTTGAAGAGTATATCCCTGTCGTAGTGGAACAAAAAGCACATTTTATTTGGTTTGGTTCCTGCTTTATGGTTGTTATTCTTTGTGCTGGCATTATTTTTGAGTAATATGCGCAATGCATCAGGCTCAGACGCACTCTCAGGACTCAGTTGTTGTTTGTTGTTGTTGTTGTTATAAAACCCACATACACACACTCACTCATACACTTGACATATTCGTGCTGTCTGCAGGGATTCGAGGCATTTAATTTTTGGTAGCCATTTACGGACCCCAGGCCCCTAAGTCCTTACACAATGGGAAATTCAGTTTTGTGTCCTGCGACAGCAGGGTAATGCAATTGCAAGACCCCTACCCCATGTAGGCATGGCAGTGCCTCATTTTTCGTTGCCTCTTTTTTGTGTCTCGGGTCCCCGGAGTCGGCGGAGAATGGGGGGGAGTCGGTACGAGTGTGGAAAATAATTTTAAATGCCAGGGAACGTCTCTGTTGTGATGGCTTTCCCCAAAAATGTTTTATGTTTGCAGTTTGTAAGCTGGTTACTGCCCGAAATAGAAGAGAACGCTTCCGAATGCTTAACTCTAAATTATTACTAAACATTTGGGTCTCTACATGTGAAATGTTGCAATCTCAACCAAATGAGAAAGACAATTACTTTTTGAATAATGCAAGTTTTTTTGTGTAAACAGTAGAATGTGTTCTGCCAAACGATTGTTTTTCATGCAAGTACTCTTGTCAAGTTTTTTAAAAGTTCAATTGAAAATACCTGTCATACAATACCTATGTATGTCTTTCAAACAAAAATATGAAACAATTACATTTAAATTTTTGAATTTTTAAAGCCTTGACTTCGTCTTATTTGGAAATAAATTAAAACTATTGCTTTTTTTTAATAAAATATATTCTACTATATATCCTTTCATTAGCAGTCATTTCTTTTATGTTTTAAGGTATATACCTGTATATTTAGTCTCTATTTGCTTGGCAACGCTTTGTTGGCCTCATAATTAGAACGAAGCCGACACAGATGCACATGACTTGGAAAAACAAATTGTGCTGCAATCCTGCCACCCACCCCCTGGAAAGCTCTCGCCTCAAAAGTTCACCTGTGGCAGATTTATGACACCGAATAACCCCATTTGGCCCCCTTCTCCTTATACGCCCTTTTAGCTCACACCTTGTCAACCCCTTCGTGTTCTAGATTTGTACATTTTCGTGCTACATTTTAATTTCTCTACAAAGTACACTGGTAAAAATAAGGGGAAATAGAATAAAAAATGAAAGAGCATAATATTTTAATTATTTGTTGGTTTTTTAAAAGCTTCTTATGGTTTTCAGACCGCTATAGTAGTAGTTTTCCACTTCACCAGGCTACGGATAAAATTTTGTTGCCTACTTTTGAGGGCTTAGAAACATGTTTAGGAAAAAAATTTATAATAACTCCTCTTAAAATTTACCAATTTGGCTGAATTTTTAATTTTTAGATATAGATTGACGAATGGATCAGTTTAAAATCAAAACTTTACAAAAAATGTTACAAACATTCGTACAAATCCTCTTTTACTCTACGAGTACTGGGTATAACGCATCCGCCCTGTTGTCTTTGTGGCTGAAATGTTCCAATTCAATTTCTATGAATTTAAGAGCTCTATACAATTCATATATGTATTTTTTTTATTTTTCCAGTGTACATACGTTGGTGGAAAAATGTGGGTTGTAGTGGGGATTGTGGAAAACTCATTAACTGTGCACGCTACTTGGCACCTTTTCTCTCTTCGCTCACACTTTGCTCGTGTGCTTTCTCTCCTTTCATTTATTCTCACCTGCCTTTCAATTTTGTGTTTTATTTTTTTTTCGCCTGCCTTGTGCTCAGTTCCTGCGTTCTTCCTATTCTTATGCCTTTCTGCCTCACATTCCATTTCCCGTTTGTGGGCGAAGGTCGCTCAACTTATCTGCATGGCGAAAAAATCCCCATTTTCGCAGCCCCCCACAGGCCCACCTGTACAGGTGCGAGGGTGTGTGTTGTTTGTGTGTGCACACACACGATTGCACAATAAGCTGATTTGAAAGCGGCAAAAGGAACCAGAAATGAGGCAGACCTACATACATTAAATCGAGCACAAAATTTATGCCAAAATCGGGGAATGCGAAATCGGAATGAAAGGCATATATATTAGACCAATCGGCATATTTAAATAATTGGGAAAGGGAATAATAAAATGTGAAAGAATTTATTTCTAGATGGAATTTCAAACCATTTAATAATAGATACCACAGTATAATAATTTAAATAACGAATCATTTTCTATTCTTTCTCGTTACAGATGTGAATCAACCACTTATTAATAAAACGTTGTTGAACAAAAGCATAATTCAATACATTTGCCATATTTAAAATCAATTAGAATATTTAACAAATATCCAAAGGCAGTTAATAAATTACTTACGTAAACAGTAGCAACCAGAAGGTATCAAATAAACAGAAATACGAACCACATACGAACCATCAGCAACAATAAATTATTCACATTGCATATATATATAAATAGAAAAAACGAAGAATCATGTATTAAAGTAAATTTATTCAAAATAGAAATGTTCAATTTCCATAACTCAGCAAACCAAATAACGCACAACAGCAACTGCAACATCACAAGCCACAATAACAATAGTTTCAGAAACAATAATAACAAAAGCCACAAAATGCATTTGAAAAGTGCAACAGCAACAGCAACGGCAGCGTCAACGTCAACGTCAACTACAACAGTTAAAACAACAGTACAGAAACATATTTTAAGTAAATTTTATGGATATGGTTGGATGCAAGTCTTCCTACTACTGACAGTCTTCGTGATTGGAAATCAAAGTGCCTGGCAGGAGAATATACGACCAAAACTCTACGTTGAATTAGGTGAGTGGTAAAATTTAGAAGATAATCTTTAAAAACTGGGGTAGAACCTTAAAAACTGTTAAGAAATTCCTTTGTATCCCTCGGGAATCCCTTTAGAAATTGCCTTGAAGATACAGTATTAATAAATTTTTTTTTAAACATTTAAAAGCTGACTAACGCAATGACGAAAGTCCAAAGTAAAATGTCAAAGGACTTGGCTTGGGTCTCGTTCTTGGCTATCTGACTATATGACATCCATTCGAATCAAATTAAAAGGCAAATGCCAATTTAAATTATGAACCATAACAGATAGAGATAAAAGGCACCAGGAAGTAATCCAGAGCTTGGATGGCAGCCCGCCCGGCAATGGTTACGAATCGAAGTCAACTGCCAAAAACTTTAATGACAACGTGTTTTTATGAGCTACAAAATGTAATTTGACTGCCAGACCTAGACAGAATCACATACCATGGATGGGCAAGGGAGATCCGGACGATAGTTGGGGACATTCTGTTAAAGTTTGACATCCAAAAACTTGCGCCCAGCATAGCACAGCACAGCTCATCAGAAAACCTTTTTGCCATCTTTGGGAAGTATCCACTTTTGTCAGGTGAAGAAGTTTGCTCAAGAAATGAAGCAATAACTTGTTGGGGAGGAGCAGAGTGGGTGCGAGGGGGGCATAGCTACTAATGCACACACTTTTGAGATATATCCAGACATCCACACGTTTTGCTATCTTAACTATAAATAACAAAAATTCCTGGAAGACATTATTTGCATAAAAGTGGCGAAGCTTTCTGTGCCGGAATGAGTGCGGCAATGGGATGGATGGGCTGGGCTGGGCTGCTCTGGATCTCCGTTCTCTTGCTGTTGCCAGCAGCTATTTCTAGTGTCCTGTGTGTGTCCTCAATGTGCGACATCATCATCATTATCATTGCCACCATCATGATCGTCGTCGTCGTCGTCAGGAGTTACGTTGCATATGCAAATTTGGTTCCTTTCCCATTTTTATGTGTTCTTTTTTTTGTGCCAAAAAGTTGGGCGACTTCTTCATCGGGCTCACGTAGGTTAGAGCCCCGGATACATATGTATCTGATGCATACCTATGTACATACATACTTGTATTTATGTGATGTATATGTAAGCTGCATATGTATCTGCAACGTTTTTTGTTTGTGCAAGATGAAGCAGAAAAAGTTGCCAACAGATGGAGAAAAAGTCGAGGCAGGAGTTCGCAGGAGTTCGGCGAAGAAGAACTAAATTCTAAAAATATCTTTTGTACGCTTCAGAAATTACGTTATTAAATGTGCATTTGGCACACACTAAATGGGGAACAAGCCAGTCACTCCTCCGTTGTTATGTTGCATTCTCCCCAGGAAAAGGGACTCCAGGACTCGAAACACGAAAGATATGAAGTCAAATCTTGGCGGCAAGGAGTCCCGGGTGAAAGGTAACTTGAATGCATGTCCTGCCAGGAAGGAATTCAACCGAATGTGTTCACAGAATCTTACCTATGAATTTGAATGTGGCACCGTATTCGGTAGAAGGAATGTGCCAGGATGTTACCAACAGGAAATGGGGTTTTAGATGCATATTTTTTAAAATAGTTAGGGTACTACTTCCGTTTTTTTTTTTAGTGTTATCATAAAAGTTGGAATAGCTTCAAGTATCTTTAAATTATTCCCTTCTCAATATCTCATTAGAACTCTCCTACTTCGTTTTTTTGGAAAACTGCTGTTGCCAACTGAAATGAATTTTTCTTTATTATTAGTTTAGCTGTAAAATCAACTCAAGGATAATCTGTGAAACGAACCTGCTAGCCCCCCACTGCCTCCCCCTTCAGCACTGTGCTAAACCAATTACTTAGCTCCGGTCTCCTTCACTCACTTCTGCTGCTGCTCCTGCTGCCTGGCCTCCACTGTCAGGGGACGTTGCACGTGTTAAAGTTCATTTAAAATCCATCAGGGAACCAACGTTGTGGGGGCAAAAGGACACGGAAAGCGTTATTTCAAAGGGGTGGCCACCACCCCTCCCGGGTGACAATTTCTTCGTTCTCTCCATTTCGCTGTTTGGGGCACTCGTGCATAACAGGAAAATAAGGTTAATGGGGAAATTATGAATGCGCCCAAGGAGGTGCCGACCAAATGAGCAAGGGGCCAGGATGCATTCATATGCCATTGTTGGTCAGGAAGTGGAAAAAAAAATATAAAAAATATATAAAAGAGCTTTTAATACCCTAAACTAACCTTCTTCATATGCTTTAAAATGATTTTTTAAAATAATGCATGGAACCATGGAAAAGTTTTGCCCAAAAACTTATGTTACACTCTGCCAGGATATAAAAACATGCCACCCCATTTACCCTTTAGTCCTTTCACTTTGCCGTCTCCTGGACCATAAAATATTACAACCCTGCGTGGCCAGGGTTGCAGTTGACAGCCGCAAGTGGTTGTCATTAGGAGCTGCGACAAAACGGTCATTTAAATGCACTCTTCTTCCCAGCATTCTGCGTCTTCAGCTTATACGCCAAAGTGGGCGCAACATTTGCTGCAAAATTACGTCTATCAAGTGGGCAGCGGTGGCAAGGGGCGGCAGCGGCAGTGGCAGCGGCAGCTAATGCTGATCGCTTTGAGGCACTTTCGCGTTGCACTTGCTCCACCTTTTTTCCCCTCCAAAGTTTCGGAAAATGTCGCCCCTTTTTTTCGTGGACATTCTGTGAAATGTTTCTTATGCTTATTTCTGGCTACGTGCTAGGATTGTGTGATTACCAGAGAAGCAATTTGTGGTAGTGCCATAGGAGGTGATAAAAAAAAGCAAAATAAATCCATTGTAAATTGGATTTCTTTGAAATTTGCTTAAAATGTAAGAGTTTTTTTGGGGGTTGTCTAAGGAAATTATGAAAAAGGAAAAAGGAGGTATTAAGTGGAGTACTCAATCTCTTAGTTTTCGGTTTAAAACTTTAAAAACCTCTCTTAATAAATACTGATTTTTTTCTGTGACTAAGAGACTTACCTCAGACAGTTACTTCCTGTCTTCCAAGACAGGGGGCCCGCCTTCGTTCGAACTTCCAAGTCACCCAAGTCGCCCCAAAAATAGTTCTGTCGCCGCTTCTTGGCTGGCCGCCCATTAAAACTGTCTGCAACGTGTCGGAACAGCAAACATAACTGTTAATTGCCATTTCTACGCGAAGTCAGAGTCTCCATCGCCATACCCCCTTCCTTGACTCGATTCTGGAACGTCGGTCTCATTTTCATATTTCGCCGCATGCGCCTCATTACAATTTAATTCACAATGTAATTGCAGACTCTGAGTGGGGCACGATGAAATAAAAAATAGTGGTTGGGGAAACTAAGCATAAGGAGCGAGAAAAAGGAACCACCGACTTGGCAAAAAGTTTTCTTACAGTTTTGCGCCACTTGACACGCGCCTCGCATAATTTCCACACGTCCTATGTGCCACAAACCTCCCATATGTATGCATGCACTCTCCCTTTGTTCAGCTCTACCCCAGAGACTGCCTTTCCATATTGCATTTTTGGCAGTCGGGTCGACTGTCGAAAAGGGCGGAAATGCGACAACTACGAAATATATTCGCCCTCCTAACTTTGGGAGTCATTGTGTTTCCTCTTCGCATGTCCGTCCATATTTGAATTCACTTGCTTTCCATTTATAAGTCTGTTTAATAATATTATGAATTGATAATCTGGCTTGTCGCCGCCGTATCTGTATATAGATTTCCAAAATATGTGAGTAGAATTCATAAAATTCATAGCTAATGGAGGAGGAAATCGAGTGTTTTTGTACATATTTTGATAAAGAATTACATCATTTGCATTACATAAAATGCATTCTGTTTTAAAGACTTTAAAGATTCAAATAAATGCCAACTGTTTCCCTCGTTTATCTAAGCTTACATTTAAATCGAGCCCATTTCGGCCATGTAATTTGAAATGGGAATTACAAATCACTGGGTTGTGCTTCAAAAAAAAAGGAGAGAGAAGAAAAAAAGAAAAGCAAATCCGAAAGGCACACCCAATCAATTATATAGACAGCAATTTTACAGCCCCCACTGGGCAATCTCGTACCATCCTCGCCCATAGCCCTTGCCACCCGATGAGAGTTCGTGTCCAGCCTCTCCATGTTGCAGTTCTTCTATATATGTATATATTATCTGGCTGTGGGGTTTGCGAGTGTATGTATGTATGTGCAATTGGAACATTTCATGGATTAAACGTTTTCTTAATTGAGTGCCTCATTTTCCGGTTAGGAAGTTTTTCATGCCGAGAAAATAAATTACACACATGAGTGCAATTTGGTAGCGGCAGGCTCTTGTCGCTCCAGGATGCAGTTGCTCCAGCCTCCCTGAAACGGGCCTTAACCTGTATGGTATCCTTGGTATCCTTGCTCGACGGGGCCTCAACTGAACAATCACCTCATAATGGCGTTAATCAAAAAGTTGCCATTGCAATTCTGTTGATGCTGCAAGTTGCAGTTGAACGATTGAACGTTTAACGGTTAAGCTTGCCAATACACAGAAAGAAAAAAGGGAAGTACTTATAGAAATTAAAATTATTCATAAGATTAAAGATTAAAAATCTTTAGATCATCTAGTACTATTTAGACTAAAATCAGTTTAAATTGTTATATTTTCTTGGAGTGCATTTATATGAAGGGTTCAATGGCTTGGTCTTGGTCACCAGGGAAATTAGTAATACGACAAGTGCAGCAGCATTACCACCATCCCCCTCGTCCTCCTCCCAGCCAACCCTCTCCATCAATCCCCCACTGGGTCTGTGGACAAATGAGCTCGATGCCCGACCGACCCGACGTTGTCGTCGCCATTCTCCCCACCGTTTTTACACATTTTACTTATTCCCTTTGTCCTGGCTGGTCCTAGCTTTTTGTCTCTATAAATTTGTCACTGATCGTCCTGGTCCTGGTCCTGGCTACTTGGTCCTTGCTCCTGCCTCGTCCTGGTCTCGTCCTGGCGCCTGGCCAGTAATTGAAATGGCGTAACGACTA